TGAGGACTTTACTTCAGTATCTATCCTCAGGACTGATCTTAGTTCTCGCAATTTTTTTTTCCTGCTCTGCACTCACTCTTTCTATAGTCACCTGGATTTCAGTTGGACTCATGTAGATCTACAGCACAGAAAAAGACCCTTCAGCACCAGTCAAAAGCAATCACCCATTTTCCAGCACTTGGCCCATTCTCTTGTATCCAATGGCATCGCAAGTGAACGTTTAAATATTTCTTAAGTGCTATGAGGGATTCTGCCTGTACCACCCTTACAGGCAGTGAGTTCCAGTTTCCTACCACCCTCTAAGTGAAAAAGCTTTTCCTCACATCTCCTCTAAACCTCCTGTCCCTTACCTTAAATCTATGCCTCCAATCAATGATTCCTCCATCAAGGGGAAATGTTTCTTCCTATCTACCCTATCTATGCCCCTCATAATTTTATATATCCCAATTATGCTCCCTGTCAATCTCTTCTGCTCCAAGGAAAACAACCCTAGTGTGCCCAATTTCTCTTCATAACTGAAACTCTCCAGCCCAGGCAACATCCTGGTAAATCACCTCTGCACCCTCTCTAGTGCTTTTACATTCCTCCTATAATGTGGATTCCAAAACTGCACACAGTACTCTACCTATGGCCTAACCAATGTTTTATACAGTTCCAGCATAACATCCTGCTCTTAAAATGTCTGCCTCAGCTAATAAAGATAAGTATACCATATATAGATAACACAGTGCGGAGCTGGAGAAGCACAGCAGGCCAGGCAGCGTCAGAGGAGTAGGAAAGTTGACGTTTCGGTTGGGACCCTTCTTCAGAAATGGGGTGAAATGACCCAAGACATCAACTTTCCTGCTCCTGTGACGCTGCCTGGCCTGCTGTGCTCCAACAGCTCCACACTGTGTTATCTTTGACTCCAGCATTGGCAGTTCTTACTATCTCTGAGAAAGTATACTGTATTCCTTCTTAACCACTTTATCCACCTGCCCTGATACCTTAAGGGACTCGTGGACATGTTCACCGAGGCCCCTCTGATATTCGGTGCTTCCCACAGTCCTACTGTTTATCATGTATTCTCTTGCCTTGTTTGTCTTGCCCAAGTGCATCATCTCGCATTTCAGCCCATCTGACCAGCCCACATATAGTCGAAGGCCACCCTCCTCACTGTTTACCACCCCTCCAGTTTTTATATCATCTGCGAACTTACTGTTCAACCTTCCTACATTCAAGTCTGATTCATTATATAAACCACAAACAACAAGGGCCCCAACCCTAACCCCTGTGGGATCCCACTGGACACAGGCTCCCAGTAGAAATACACTCCTCAACCTTCACCCTTTGCTTCTTGACACTCAGCCAATTGGGGATCCAATTTGTCAAATGTCCTTGCATATCATGGCTCTTAGCTTTGCTATCAGTCTCCTATGTGGTACCTTATCAAAAGCTTTTCTGAAATCCAAGTAGACTATATTAAAGGCATTGCCTTCATCTATATGAGGGAGCACAGTGGCTCAGTGGTTAGTACTGCTGTCTCACAGCTCAGCGATTCAGGTTCGATTCCAGCCGTGGGTGGCTATCTGTGTAGAGTTTGCACGTTCTCCCTGTGTCTGTGTGACTTTCCTCTAGGTGCTTCGGTTTTCTCTCACAGTCCAAAGATGTGCAGGTTAGATGGAATGACCATACTAAATTGTATGGAGTGTCTAGGGATATACAGGCTGGGTGAGTTAGCCATGGTAAATGTAGGGTTAAGGGAATAAAGTGGGGTCTGGGTCTGAGTAGGATTGTCTTCTGAGGGTCAGTGTGGACTCCATGGGCCAAATGGCCTGTTTCTGTACTGTAGGGATTCTATGATTCTACTCTGTGGTAAAACTGGTCACCTCTTATAAAAGTTCAGGCGAGTTGGTCAGACGTGACCTCCCTGTAAAAAAACCATGCTGATTGTTCTTAATTAATCCCTGCTTCTCCAAATGCAGATTAATCCTGCCTGTCAGAATTGCTTCTAATAGTTTCCCTACCACTGAGGTTAGACTAACCAGCCTACAGTTTTCTGGTTTATCCATTGCTCCATTCTTGAATAACAGTACCACATTGGCTGTACACTAGCATCTCTCCTGTGGTCAGAGAGGAATTGAAAACTTTTGCAAATGCCCTTATTCTCCCTTACTTCAGTCAATAACCTGGGATATTAGATTATTAGAATCCCTACAGTGTGGAAGCAGGCCCTTCAGCCCAACAAGTCCACACCGACCCTCAGAGTATCCCACCCAAACCCATCCTCCTATAAGCCACCTAACCTACATATTCCTGAACACTATGTGCAATTTAGCATGGCCAATATACCTACCCTGCACATCTTTGGACTGTAGGAGGAACTGGAGCGCCCGGAGGAAACCCACGCAGACACGGGGAGAATGTGCAAACTCCACACAGACAGTCGTCGAAGGGTGGAATCGAACCCGGGTCCCTGGCGCTGTGAGGCAGCACTGCTAACCACTGAGCCACCGTGCCGCCCAACCTGGGATATATTTCATTTGGCCCTGAAGATGTATCTACTCTTAAGCCTGCCAGACCACTCAGAACCTCCTTTGTCTTTCATCATTTCTTTAATTATATCACAGGCCCTCTCCATGATTTCTATTCTCACATCACCTCTCTCACTAATCAACACTAACACAAAATATTCATTTAGAACTCTGCCTACATCCTCTGGCCCCACACACAAATTTACCTCTGTAGTCCTTAACGGACCCGACTATTTCCCTCATTATTCTTTCACCCTTAAAGAACCTGTAAAACAAATTTCCCTTTATTTTACCTGCCGTTATCCCTTCATATCCCCTATTAGCTCTATCTCCCTGTTGTAAGTTCCCTCTTGCATATTCTATACACCTCAAGGAGCTCTACTGATCTGAGCCCTCGGTGTCTGCTATAAGGTCTCTTTTAATCTTAATGCAATGCTGTATGTCCTTCAATATCCAAACTTCAATGGATTTGATGGTCCCATCCTTCTTCTTTATTGGGTCATGTTCGTCCTGTACTCTCATATTCCCTTTTCTAATACATCCAACTATTCTGAGACAGATTTACTGGAAAGTATCTGCTCCCAGTCTGCTCTAATCAAATAGAGTCATAGCGTCCTACAGCACAGAGACAGCCCCTTTGGTCCAAACTGGTCCACGCTGAGCAAAATGTCCATCTACGCTAACCCCATTTCCCTGCACCTGGCCCATATCCTTCTAAATGTTTCCTATTCATGTATTCATCCAAATGCCTTTTAAATCATATCTGATCTTATCAAAATCAGCCTTCCCCACTCCCGGTTGAAAAACTTGATTTCAGGCTCATTCTTGTTCTTTTCTTGAATCTAACTGAGTTATGATTGCTGTCTGCAGAATGCTCCTCCACTAATACTTCAATACCTTGCCTGGTTTTGTTCTGTAAACTAAAGGCGAGTATTCCACCCCCCTCCACCGCCACTTTTGTATGGCTTTCTATGTACTGACTTAAAAAGCTGCAATGGATGCATTTTAAGAATTCTACTCCCTCTAAACCTTCCACATTATGATTACCACAGTTAGTGTTGAGTAAATTGAAATCCAAATCGCTACCCCATTACTTTTACACTTCTCTGAAATTTGCCTACACATCTGCTCTTCTATTTCTCTCAGACTGTTGGGAGGTACCTATTGTAGAAAGTTGAACTCTCAGTTTCTGCTCCCTCTCTTCCTGTCAGGCCCCCCCTCCTTTTACTGTTCATCCTCTTTCAAACATCTTGAAGGTTTAACTGTGTGGGAAATATGGAGAGGCAAGGGAGGAGGAAGCACTGGAAGGAACAGCAGATCTTGGGAAGGGTGCCCTGATCTGGAAAGGGGAGAATCAGAAGTTTAACCTAGAACAAGGCTGGGCAGTCAAGCCTCAGAATAGGTAGGAAGGAAGGCCTAGAGCGATGGTGGGAACTCTGGACCAGAGAAAAGCTAGACAGGCTGGCCTAAGGTGAGTCTAGACAGGCTGGCCTAGGGTGAGTCTAGACAGGTTGGCCTGATCAAGACTGGATGGGCTGGCCTAGGGTGAGTCTAGATAGGCTAGCCTGGGTCAAGGCTAGACGTGCTGGCCTAGGGTGAGTCCAGACAGGCTGACCAAGGGTAAGTCTAGACAGGCTGGCCTGGGGTGAGATTTGGAAGTAAGGGCTAGGGTGAGTGTGGGCAGAATGGCCTAGGGTGAGGTTGGGCAGAATGGCATAGGGTGAGGGTAGGCAGAATGGGCTAGGGTGAGTGTGGGAAGAATGGCCTAGGGTGAGTGTGGGCAGAATGGGATAGGGTTGGGGGTGGCAGAATGAGCTTGGATATGAGTGACAGACTGGCTTTGGGTGTGGTTGGGCAGATAGAGCTAGGATGGGGCTGGGCAGACTGGGCTGGGAGTCTTTTGTGTTCAGAGGGATGCCACTCAGTTCACCGAGTCTCCCCCAGCGCTCTGTAGTGATATGCCAGTAGGCTCATTCTGGCCTCTCTGGCCCAGAGCCCTGTTAGGTTTAGGTATTTTTAATCAACTGCTCAGAGATGTTAATGCACCACCTCCGTAGCAGGTAGGACTTGAAACCAGCCTACCTTGTCTAGAGGTACAGACACTACCACTGCACCACAAGAGCCCCAAGGCTCTGTATGCTTATTTTCGGTGAGTTTAATCATGGGATTGAGAAATTAGTATGGATAGGGGTTTGGTTAAAAGTAAGAGCTCAGAATAAGCAGGTCATTTTCAGATTAGTCTGTACTTAGTGCAGTATCACAAGGTGAGGCCTGGGTCACTTTCTAGCTATATTAACGACCTTGATAAGGGGACAATACGAAGCTGGGAGGAAGCAGTTTAAGACTGAGACTGATGGGTTTTTGCGCTCTGACAGTGTGAGAAAGTTCACTTGATGTAGGAATGAGGTTTTGATTGAATTGAATGTTAGGGGAGCTACGAGGGGCAGACTGAGACTTCCCTTATGTTGATGTACCTTGTTTCCACAGGAATCTTGGCAATACCAACTTTATGCAGTGCTGGTTCACAGTGGATGGGCATCGTTAGGACATTACATTGCATATGTAAAATCCTTCAAAGACTCCATGTGGTATGAACTGAATGATAGCAATGTGTTTCAGGTAAGAGTTACTCTGATCCAGAGTGAGGGCAGGTACGGGGGGAGGCAGTCAACACTGAAACCTGGCAGTTTTATATAAAGACTGCGACTGTGTTGTGAGTTAGTACGAGACGTTTATAGGACCTTATCTGGATCAATCGCCATTTTGTGCAGGGACTATATTTAATTCTCATTATTTGGCTGAGAAGTAGTTCATCAAATCCTGAGAGAATATAACATGAAGTCTACATTGCCATTAATCCTTGTCAGGAGCTTTACACACTGTCTGAGTAGATAGTGTTCACCATCTCTGCATCACCCAGTGAGAAAGAAAGAAATAAAAAAAAATCCAAAAGAGCATGAAACCCTTTTGCCCTTGTTCCCTGTAGGGGCAAGGTTGGCAGTACCGGAGAAACATCGATGCCATCATTGGTTGACTGCTACTGTTACATCTAACCCTGTACTGTCTCTGTCCTGGGAGTGTTTGATGGAGGAAGTGTAGAGGGAGCTTTACTCTGTATCTAACCCTGTGCTGTCCCTGTCCTGGGAGTGTTTGAGGGGACAGTGTGGTGGGAGGCTTACTTTCAGTTTACAACAGTAGGCTGTTACCAGGTCTACTGTAGACATTGCAAAGCTCCTAAAATCCCAGTCAAGTAAAGTGATTTCAATGCCCAGCTGCCTATGTGATCTGTGAATGAACAAACACCATCCGACCTCATTACTACCCCTGTGAAAATGGAAGATGCCCTGTTTGGGGGCAGGAATTCCAATTTCTGGGCTTCTCCACTATTTTCACCATGGCAGAGAAGTTCTCCAATGTGACAACAACCTAATCCCAATGCTCCTGTATAGTCTGGAATTTTTTTTTTGCCTGAAACCTGGAAAAATTACCTGGTAATTCAGAGATGGGAAGTTTTGGCTCAGCCTGGATGTGGGGGCAGAGTTGCCCAGTGTACCTGAACTCTTCAGTTCATGACGTGTGATATGCCTGTACCTTGGATGGGTTCATGACCTGTGATATGTTTTACTCCCACATAGGTGCATGGCCTGTGCTATACATTCCCCTAAATGCCTGTATGATTTGTGATATGTGTTCCCAACTCGCAGATGTATGGTATGTGATAGACATTCCCCCTAGACAGGTGCAGTATACGTGATACACAAGCTTCAGTAACGCCATTGTGGTCTGTTTCCTAAACAGGTGAACTGGGCCGACATTACACGGACCTTTGGTGGCCCTTGCTCCAAATTGTGAGTATTTTCTTGAACTGGACTGAAACTGTTGACTCCTGATTGTGCTTGTCCTGAACAGTAAACAGGCGCCATTCCAAGGGGAGAGTGATTGTGTTGGCTGCTCAGTCTTGGCCCACATACAGGTTCCATGTTCATCAGGAGCCTGTCCATTTTACAGGCAGGGTCATGAGAGAGACAGACAGAGACTGAGCCAGGCCACCTCTGCCCCTCATTCCCTTCCTTTCTTTAATGTTGTTTAAGGCATGTTCCAAATCACCCATTAGTATGTGGTCAGCTTAGATGTCACCAGTAGCATAGATTTAAACAAGAAGTGTTATTTATTTACCAACACTGACCCTGGCAAGCTCCAGCAGTACATTAATCACACCCAAAAAAGGTACAATTAAAGACAATTGTGCAGTTCTACAAATAGATTCACGAGCAGTTCATACAACTCTGAGATTTGAATAAAGGAGTGAGCTCCTCTCACTCTGGGACTGAAATTCAAGTGGCTGGAGTCCCATTTGGATCAGCTGCTGATTCCCTTCAAAGTAAAGAGTGTTCAGCAGGTCATGCCGATAGGCCCTAATGGCTATTTTACCCAAGGTCCAACTTCTCACAGGTGAAATCAGAGCTTTTGAACAGAAGTTACAGGAAGAAGGACATTCAGCCTCAAAAATCTTGAAAGGACAAGTTGTTGCAGCATTTTATTGCTGTTGTTGTTATAGACTGCCTGTTTCTTTTTCCCCCAGCATTTGGCTAAAAGCATTCTAAAACCTGAGGGCAGTTTCAATCTTAAGATGAATGACCATTGATACACAGGGGAAGGCAAATGATGGTTTTTCATTTGAACTACGAGAGTGGAATTCTTCACGAACAGGTTGTTGCTGTCATGCCAAACAGATATTCCAGCTACCACACTACTGAGTAAAGTAGTATGCGAGTTTCAGTGCTGGCATGATGGCAGGTGTGCAGGTTGAACATCTCAGTGACTGGCAGATCCTGTAAAACACCATGTCTTTTCAGTGGTTCTCAACGCATAGGACTGACCATACGCAATGGGTCTGTACTTGCACAATGCAGAACATCATGACCAACATTCTGTTACCGGACAACACTACTAATCAATCCTGAATGTGCCAGGACTAACATGAACAACCAATTTAAGAAGATCATCTGGGCTCATAGTGTGGCCCCCTTACACTTACTAGAAATTGCATATATTTGCATGAAAGGCTGTGTCCTTTGCAAACAGAAAGAATATTAGCACTAAGCCTTTTACAACTAAATAAAAGATGAGGAACAGCTATTCCCTGGTGCATTCCAATGCTTTGTCCAAACAGAGTTGATGTGCCCAGTAAGCTTACTGGGCTGGTAACATTGCAAAATGTGGGTCACCCTTCAGCTGTCAGTTTACAGTTCATCAGGGAATATTTTAAAAGAAATAAAGTCTTTAAAAATGTATCATCCAGTTTATTCACCATTTCTGAATGTAATTGTTCAGATGAATTGGCAGGGAGTGTGGTGGAGATTTTGACATAGTTAGTATCCTGTGAATTTTTTTAAAATTCACTCCTGTGATGTGGCCAGCATTTATTGCCTGCCCCTAGTTGCCCTTGTGAAGATGGTGGTGAGCTGCCTTCTTGAACAGCTGCGGTTCACCTGCTGTGGTTTGACCTACCATGTTAAGGAGGGAATCCTAGGATTTTGACCCAGTAACAGTGAAGGACCGGCAATATATTTCCAAGTCAGGATGGTGGGTGGCTTGGAAGGGAACTTGCAGATGATGGTGTTCCCAAGTATCTGCTGCCCTTGTCCTTCTATATGGAAGTGATCATGTGTTTGGAAGGTGCTGCCTGAGGCTTTTTGGTGAATTTCTGCAGTGCATCTTGTAGATAGTATACACTGCTGCTCCTGAGCGTCGGTGGTGGAGGGAGTGGATGCTTGTGGATGTGGTGCCATCAAGCGGGCTGCTCTGTCCTGGATGGTGTCAAGCTTCTTGAGTGTTGCTGGAGTTGCACCCATCCAGGCAGGTGGGGAGTATTCCATCACACTCCTGACTTGAGCCATGTCAATAGTGGACAAACGGTGGGGAGTCAGGAAGTGAGTTACTCACAGCAGGATTCATAGTGTATGACCAGCTTTTATAGCCATTGTGTTTAAGTATAGAGTCCAGTTGAGTTTCTGGTCAATGATAACCCCCAGGATGTTGATAGTGGGGGATTCAGTGATGGTAACACCATTGAATGTCAAGGTGTGGTGGTTAGATTGTCTGTTATTGGAGATGGTCATAGCCTGGCATTTGTGTGGCACAAATATTACTTGCCAGTTGTCAGTCCAAGCCTAGACATTGTCCAGATTTTCTTGCATTTGAACATGGACTGCTTCAGTATTTGAGAAGTCATGAATGGTGCTGAACATTGTGAAATCATCGGTGAACATCCCCACTTCTGACCTTATGATGGAGGGAAGGTCATTGATGAAGCAGCTGACGATGATAGGGCCTATGACACTGCCCTGAGGAACTCCTGCAGAGATTTCCTGGAGCTGAGATGACTGACATCCAACAACCACAACCATCTTTCAGTGTGCTAGGCATGCTTCCAACCAGGAGAGACATTGCCCCCTAATACCCATGATTCCAGTTTTACTAGGGCTCCTTGATGCCACACTTGGTCAACTGCAGCCTTGATATCAAGGGGTGTCACTCTCACCTCACCTCTGGAATTCAGCTGTTTTGTCCATGTTTGAACCAAGGCTGTAATGAGGTCAGGAGCTGAGTGGCCCTGGTGGAACCCAAACTGGGTGACACTGAGCAGGTTGTTGCTGAGCAGGTGCTGCTTGATAGCACTGTTGATGACACCTTCCATCACTTTCCATAAGAACATAAGAACTAGGAGCAGGAGTAGGCCATCTGGCCCCTCGAGCCTGCCCTGCCATTTAATAAGATCATGGCTGATCTTTTTGAGGCTCAGCTCCACTTACCCGCCCGCTCATCATAACCCTTAATTCCTTTACTGTTCAAAAATTTATCTAGCCTTGCCTTAAAAACATTCAGCGAGGAAGCTTCAACCGCTTCACTGGGCAGGGAATTCCACAGATTCACAACCCTTTGGGTGAAGAAGTTCCTCCTGACCTCAGTCCTACATCTGCTTCCCTTTATTTTGAGGCTATGCCCCCTAGTTTCACCTGCTAGTGGAAACAACCTCCCTGCCTCCACCTTATCTATTCCCTTCATAATCTTATATGTTTCTATAAGATCTCCCCTCATTCTTCTGAATTCCAATGAGTATAATAAATGATGATGATTGAGAGTAGACTGATGAGGTAATTGGGTGGGTTGGAGTTGTCCTGCTTTTTGTACAATATTTCACATTGATGTGTAGATACCAGTTTTGTAACTGTACTGGAAGAGCTTGACCAAGGGTGTGGCAAGTTCTGGAGCACAAGTCTTCAGTACTATTGCTGAAGTGTTGTCAAGTCTGGTAGCCTTTGCAGTATTCAGTGTCTCCAACCATTTCTTGATATCCCATGGAATGAATTGAATTGGCTGAAGACTGGTATCTGTGATGCTGGGGACCACTGGAGGAGGCCAAGATGGATTATACACTTGGCACTTCTGGCTGAAGATTGCTGCGAAAGCTTCAGCCTTACCTTTTGCACTGATGGGCTGGGCTCTTCAGTCATTGACGATGGGGATATTTGTGGAGCCTCCTCTTCCTCTAGTGGCTTGCTTAATTGAGAACTGCAATTCACGACTGCAGAGCTTAGATCTGATGAGTTCGTTGTGGGATCACTTAGCTCTGTACAGCACTTGCTGTTTATGCTGTTGGCATGCAAGTAGTCCTGTTTGGTGGCTTCACCAGGTTGGTACCTCATTTTTAGATACGCCTTGTTCTGCTCCTGGCATCCCCTCCTGTACTCTCCATTGAACCAGTGTTGATCCCCTGGCTTGATGGTAATGGTTGAGTGGATGATATGCCGGGCCATGAGGTTACAGATTATGCTGGAGTACAATTCTGCTGCTGTTGATGGCCAACAGTGCCTCATGGCTCAGTCTTGAATCGTTAGATCTTTTCGAAGTCTGTCCCATTTAGCACGGTAATAGTGCAACACAACATGATGGAAGGTATTCTTAATGTGAAGGCGGAACTTCATAACCAAAAGGACTGTGCAGTGGTCACTCTTACCGATCCTGTTATGGACAGATGCATCTGCAGCTGGCAGATTGGTGACGATGACGTCAGTATGTTTATCCCTCTTGTTGGTTCCCTCACCACCTGCTGCAGACCCAGTCCAACAGCTATGTTCTTTTGGACCCAATCAGCTCGATCATTAGTACTGTTGCTGAGCCACATTGAAATTCCCCATCCAGAGGGCATTTTGCATCCTTTCAACCCTCAGTACTTCCTCGAAGTGTTGTTTAACATCGAGGAGTACTGATTCATCAGTTGAAGGATGTCGGTACGTAGTAATCAGCAGGAGGTTTCCTTGCTAATGACACTTCATGGGTTCCAGAGTCAATGTTGAGGACTCCCAAGGCAACTCCGTCCTGACTATATACCACTCTGCTGGGTCTGGCCTGCTGATGGGACAGGACATATCCAAGAACGGTTATGGTGGTGTCTGGGACATTGACTCTAAGGTATGATGCTGAGAATATGACTATGTCAGGCTATTGCTTGACTCGTCTGTGAGACAGCTCTCAAGACGGTAGTTGTGAGTCAACCAAATTCATTGCTGTGGATCTGGAGTCACATGTAGGCCAGACCAGGTAAGGATGGTAGATTTCCTTCCCTGAAGGACATCAGTGAACCAGATGGGTTTTTCAACAATGGTTTCATGGTCATTAGCAGTTTTCTTTAATCTTATTCAAATTCCCCCATCTGCCTTGGTAGGTCCTTAGAATATTAGCTGAGTTTCTGGACTAATATTCGAGCAATAATATCACTAGGCCATCGCCACCCTGCCATTAATTTTGTACAGAATCCTGTAATATTCAATAGTTTGCCTTGTTGATGATGTCATTTAGCATTTGTGGTGGTATTAGCAGTAATGGCCAGGCAGCTATCTATCTATCTAAAGTACTTGGTGTAATATACCCTGCAGGAGGATTTCCAGCCATTCTGGCTCATGCAGGTATTTCTGAGTGAAGGCAGTGGTTCTGCTGTTCCCTCTAATGCTCTTCCTCTGGTCTGAGGCCTGCTCCACAGTTGTTCTGGGAATGGGAAACAAGAGTCCCCTCTGCCTATCAGCAACCAATCATTACCCTATCACATGCAGTGTAATGCTACTATCACAGTTAATGGCCATCTCCCCTTTCTCCTACTTCCCTGTATTTGATTGGCATTTCAGTTTCAGAGTCCAGGGACTGAGCGACTCACTCTATTCCAGTATAAATAAAAGTATCTCCTGTCCACTCTCCCACATCTTGCCCCCTCTCTCTTGTATACACCTTTTAACATTGAAACTGTATCTGATGGGGGAAGGCTGCTGTCATTCCCCGCTCAGTGGGTCTTGTTCCTCATGCTGTGGGAGCACAGGGTTTTGCTGCTGTGGCTGCTCTGTGATGAGTTTTCGATGACTGCCCTGTTAATTGATGTGTATTAATGCTGTCTTCCTGCAGGACAGAGACTGCATACATGCTGCTGTACAGGAGAGTGAAGACAGAGGATACGAAACCCCCTTCTGGTGCACAAGCTGATGGCTTGTGAAGAACACAGCCCAAAGATGTGCAGGCTAGGTGGATTGGCCATGCTAAATTGCCTGTAGTGTTCAGGGATGTGTAGATTAGGTGGATTATAGGGTGATGGGTCTGGGTGGGATGCTCTGGGGGCCAGTGTGGACTTGTTGGGCTGAAGGGCCTGTTTCCACACTGTAGGGATTCGATGATCTTCGACGATGTCTTATTGAAGCATAATCTGATCTTTCTCATTTCTGTAAAGACTGCTGTCAATAACAATTTGCATTTATATGGCACATTTAGTCACAGGAGCATTCTCAAACAAAGTGGCCACCACATCATAATGTGAAAAGGTAAGTACAGCAAACATTTTATTGACTGGCATCCATAGGACTGGGAGCGTACCAGTTGATCAAATATTCCAGTTGATCAAGAGGTCCACATAATCAATGTAAAAACACACACTAAGTAATAGAAACGTAATAGAAACTTTTGCTGGTTTATTGAGGATGCCAGTTCATAAGGTGCTGGTTAAAACAAAGTTTGCTGTATTAAGGTGTGCCTTAATGGAAAAGAAAGGGGCTTAGCGTGGGAGTTAGGAAGGGAATTCAACAGCAACAATCCTGGTACCAATCTGAACGCAAGCTGACAAATAGGAAAGTGAGAATCAGGCATGTGCTAGCACCAATTGGAAGAGTGCAGATATTCTGGACAATTGGTGATCTGGGCCCAATATTTTTCAAATTGAGGCCATATTAGATTAGGAGCCAATATAATAATTATGGGGCTAATTGCAACAAACAAGTGCAGCAGGCTTTGGCCTGGAATTCACAAGCTGAAAGGTAACAACCCTAAAACTGACACAGAGATAGTAAGAACTGCCGATGCTGGAGTCTGAGATAATACAGTGTGGAGCTGGAGGAACACAGCAGGCCAGGCAGCATCAAAGAAGCAGGAAAGCTGACGTTTTGGGTCAGGACCCTTCTTCAGAAATCTCTCGAATTATTTCATCCAATTTGTTTGTGTAGTTGCAGATACATTTTGTTTTGCTCAAAAAAAAACCTAACCCCAGTTTAAAACATAGACAGATTCTAAGCAAGACCACACACCTAAAATGCATTATCTGACCTGAGATGTCACTTCTGGTATACATTGATAAAACCTTAATTACCTCGGGACAAAGACTGGAAAGGAATCTGGATTTTGCATTTCAATCAGTAGTCTCCTTCCTAATTGATTAAAGATTCAACAAGAGGTGTCCAGTTTTGGGGTTTTTACCTTTCAGCTTATAAGTTCTGTGTCTTATATCCCCTCTCACACACTACATGTGAGGAAGGAGCTGAGCTACAAAAGCTTGCATTTTTCAAATAAAACTGTTGGACTATAACCTGGTGTCATATGATTTGTGATTTTGTCCACCATTTCTCCTATCCCGGCATCTCCACATCGTGACTTTGGCCTGAGTTGAGGTTCAGCGGATGTGGAAGTCACAGGATACCAGGTTGTAGTCCAACAGGTTTTTTGAAATCACAAGCTTTTGGAGCACTGCTCCTTCGTCAGGTGAAGAGGTTTAGAGGGTGGAAGGTAGGATACAGGCCAACATGTCAGCACTTGTGGATGCAGTGGGGGAGGGGGGTCTGCTGCTTCTTGCTATCTCTTTATGTCTTTAGACTTAGTGATTCACAATGGGGTTGATTGTATTTTACCCTGGTAATTGGTGTTTGCTGGGAAATGATCAGAGATTCATTGGAGTGGAAGTTGATTGTTTTCACGGTCACACTTTGTGTAGTTACAACATTAATAAAAGGGAATTGATGGTGCAATGTGTTAGAAACGGGATCTAGATTCATTAAGGGTGAATGTTGGTGTGTAAGATTCCTTTATCAATCAATCATTTTGGACTGACACAAACTGCCCAGGTTGGCATCAGTTCCAGAGTACTCCGTGAAGCTGGATAAACTCAAGAGCTCTCCAGAAAGGAAAAGAGTTCTACTGCCAGGGATCAATATTTTACCAGGAGAGGGAACTTTACTCTGTATCTGATACCATGCTGTTCCTGTCCTGTTTGATGGGAACAGTGAAGAAGAATCTTTACTTTCCATTTAAAAGAGTCATAATTATCCTGCTGCCCAGTCCCATTCACAATTCCTGGGTACTCTCCAGATTGTCTGTACTGGAGTAGATGTGGGTTTTGTTCAGGTCCTCTGCACTGATTTGGTATTTGATCAACTTTGGACATTGCTTGCACCTTCTCCATCTCCCAATTCCTGATTGGAATGGGTCATGGCTAGAACAGAAAGACATCAAGTCAGCAGATGAGCAGAAAGATTTAATGACAACATCAGAGTGAAGCTAAAGGTTGGCCAGAGTCTGAAGAAGGGTCTAGGCCCGAAACGTCAGCATTCCTGCTCCTCTGATGCTGCTTGGCCTGCTGTGTTCATCTATACCTTGTTATCTCTTGGCCAGAGTAGTGTTGCTTTTGGATTCGGGAATCAGGTCGAATCTAGATATTGAGAAGGATTCTGAGAATGGGGTCTTCAGGAAGGAAGATCAGTTGAAACACATGGACACTGTATTCATCAGGTCATCTTCCACAAAGCAGAGGAGGAGCCAGTGCTTCTGACCAGTGGAAGAGAGAGAGAGGACAGCAGCTTCGGAAAGAGAGAAAAAGTCATAGAATCATAAGATGATACAATGCATAAAAGGCCCTTTGGCCCATCGAGTCTACACCAACACCTGAGAAACACCGGATCTTCAACCTAATTCCCATTTCCCAGCACTTGCCTGCAGCCTCAAATGTTCTGATGTACCAAGTGCTCATCGAGGTACTTTTTAAATGATGTGAGGTAATTTGCCTCTACCACCCTCCCAGGTAGCACATTCCAGATCGTCACCACCCTCTGGGTTAGAACGTTTTCCCTCACCCGCCCCACCCCTCGCTTTATCAAAATGATCAAATTACCCTGTATCCCATATGCATTTGCCTTCGTGATAAGTCTCATTTGTGGGACCTTGTCAAAGGCTTTGCTGAAATTCATATAAACTACATCAACTGCACCACCCTCATCACCTCCTCAAAATATTCAATCAAATTTGTTGGGCATGACCTCCCTATGAGGCCTTGCCTCTCCAAGTTGAGTTAGATGCTCTGCTTCAGAATTCTGTCCAATAGTTTCCCTGCCACTGACGTGAGACTGACTGGTCTGTAGCTCTCTGGCTTATCAAAAAGAGAGAACAGGGACAGCGTCTTTATAAGGAGAGAGAGAGCAGCTCCATAAAGAAGAATCCCATCTACGTGAGAAGGACAGCAAAGAGACGTGATAACCTCGCAGTCACAGAGAGAGCCCCTTAAACCTGTTCCTATCTGTCAAAGCAGGCCTGTGATGTGACAGGAAAGCTGGAAGGTGATTGGTCAGTGTTCTTTCATGTCTCTTTTAATTGGCTGAGGATTTCAGGAGATGTTTATTCCAGCTGGTGAGGACATGTAAGAAATTCACTTCTAAAATGTTTAACATTGAAATGAATGAATTAAATAAAACAGAAATGGCTGGGCGCACAGCGAGCTGCATCCCTGGGGAGCTGGTTGATTCTGGTATAATTCTCCAGGACATTCTGCAGCAAGTGTTCACTGTTCGAGGAACTCCATCTCTGAGCTGAGGACACATCAGGGAGGGTGAAAGGGGTCCCTAACACCTTGTTTCAGAAAGCACTCACACCCCTTAGATTAACTGATCACATTTATTGAGGTCAGGGAAAGGAGGGTGTGACTGAGGTAGGATGCAGAATTTAGCTTTGGAGGAGCCTCGGTCAGTGGCCCTTATTCAGTAGGTATGAGATGTTTGCACTGATATGGATGAGGGCACAATCTGCAGCGACAGTGAACAAACTGACCAAAGCATCCTGGCCCAGAGTGCCACTCAAGTGAGGGGAGAAAAGAGGAGAGTAGTAGCAGTATTCAGGGATAGAATAATTGGGGAATAGAGACTGTGCTCTGAACAAAGACAGGGTCCTGAAGGCTGTGTTGCCTGCCTGCTGTCAACTCACTTCTTCTGGGCTGGAGAGCAACTTGGAGTGGGAAGCTAAATCTATAGACCCTACAGTGATGGACCACATACATACCAATGACATAGGTAGGACTAGGAATGAAATTCTGTTGCGGGATTGCAAGTAACTCGGAGCAAAATTCAAAAGTAGAACCTCAAAGACAATAAGCTTAGGATTACTACCTGAGGCATATGTAACTTGGTGCAGAGTAAGTAAGATGAAAGAGATAAATGTATGGTTCAAAGATTGCTGTGGGAGAAATGGGTTGCGATTCATGGGGCATTGACTCCAATACTGGGAAAAGGGAGAGCTGTTCCAGTGGATGGGCCTGATTTAACACATCCTACAACTAGAATCCTGGCAAATTGTGTAGTTCACGTTGTAAACTGGGAACCTGATATTGAAAGGCATGTGACATTCTGTAAGAAGAGGACTTTAAACTAATTAATGGGGGGAGAGTACAATTGAAGAGAAGTTTAAAAAAAGAAATGAGAGAGTAGAGGTGCAGGTTTGTGAGGAAGGAAACAACAATCACTAACAGGAAGGGTTAAAAAATATAAACATGATTGCAGCAGAAATTAGAACAGAGAGAGTAATGATGGTTAAAAAGTCAAAGTTTGAGGCTGTTTATCGAATGCCTGCCACGTTTGTTATAAAATAGATGAGTTGACATTACAAATAGAAATAAATTCTACGATAGCTGTTAGAGATGTGATTGCGTAGTGACCAAGACTGGGAATTCAATATTAAAGGGCATTTGACGTTCTCAACAAATAGGCTAAAAGGAAAAGGAAGAAGAGGCAGAGTATCTTTATTATTAAAGGAAGATATGAGTGCAGTGGTGACCAGTGATATAGATGCAATAGATTGTGATATGGAATCAGCTTGGGTGAAAATAGGAAAGAGCAAGGGGAAGAAGTGGGGGTCGTCCATAGGCCCCAAAGATTTGCTTCACTGTAGGACAAAGTATAAATCAGAGAATAATAAGCTGTGGAAGAAGAACACTATAATTCTCATGGGTGATTTCTATCTTCGTATTGACAGGACCTAACAGATGGGTAAGAGTGACATGGAAGACAAATTTATACAGTGCATCAGCGAAGGTCCTGGGGAATCTTGCCAAACAAAGAGACCTTGGAGTGCATGCTCATTGTTTGTTGAAAGTGGAGTAGCAGGCAGACAGGGTAGTGAAGAAGGCATTGGATATGCTTGCCTTTATTGGTCAGTGCATTGAGTATAGGAGTTGGGAGGTCATGTTGAAACTGTACAGGACATTGATGAGGCCACTTTTGGAATACTGCTTTCAGTTCTGGTCTCCCTGCTATAGGAAGGATGTTGTGAAACTTGAAAAGGGTTCAGAAAAGATTTACAAGGATGTTGCCGGGTTTGGAGGTTTTAGCTATAGGGAGACGCTGAATAGGCTGAGGCTATTTTCCTTGGAGCATCAGAGGCTGAGGAGTGACTTTACAGAGGTTTATAAAATCATGAAGGGCATGGATAGGGTGAACAGTCACCCTAGGTGGGGGAGTCCAAAACTAGAGGGGATAGGTGTAAGGTGAGAGGGGAAAGATTTGAAAGGGATCTAAGGGGCAACATTTTCACGTAGAGGGTGGTGCGTGTATGGAATGAGCTGCCAGACAAAGTGGTGGAGGCTGGTACAATCACAACATTTAAAAGGCATCTAGATGTGCATACAAATAGGAAGGCTTTAGACGGATTTCTGCCAAATGCTGGCAAATGGCTCTAGATTAATTTAGGATATCTGGTCGGCATGAACAAGTTCGACTGAAGGGTCTGTTTCCGTGCAGTACTGCTCTATGTCTCTGATTGTTTCTTAGAGTAGCACATTGCAGAACCTATCCAGGAACAGGCTATTTTAGATCTTTTAATGTGCAATGAGGTAGGATTAATAAATGATCTCATAGTTAAGAATCCTCTAGCCACAGCAACTGCAACATGGTAGAAGTTAAAATTCAGTCTGAGGGAGAGTGACATGGTCTTAAACCGGTGATGTCAAATTAAATAAGAACAATTATGGAGGTATAAAGAAAGAGTTGTCTAAAGTGGGCTGAGAAAATAGACTAAGGGGAAGGTCAGTGGCAGATATTTAAGCAGGTCTTTCATAATTATCTGCAAAAATTTATTCCAGTCAAAAAGGGCTCAATGGGAAGGATGAACCTCCTGTGGTTATCAAAGGCAGTGAAAGAGAATAGCCAATCAAAAACCAAGGTAAACATAGGAGTGAAACTATTGGTAGGCCTGAGGATTGGGAATTTTTTTTTGGAATCAAAAGCTGATGACTAAAAAGCTAATAACGAGGAAGAAAATGGACTATTAAAATAAATTAGGAAGAAATATACAAACTGCAAGAGCTTCTATAGGTATTTAAAAAGAAAAAAGTTGCTAAAGTAGGCATAGGAACTTTGGAGGATGCAACTTGATATTTGATAACAGTGAACAAGGAAATGGCAGATAATTTAAACTAATATTTGGCATCAGTTTTCATGGTGGAGGACACTATAAACTTCACAAAGGTAACAGATAAGCAAGGTGCTAATGGGAAGCAAGATTTCATAATGTCTGTAACATGAGGGACGAAGTATGTGACAAATTCATGGGACTAATACATCCAAGGGTTTTAAAGCATGTGGCTGCAGGGATAGTGGGGGCATTGGCCAAAATATTCCAGAACTTACTGGATTCTGGGAGGGTTCCAGCAGATTAGAAATCTGTCAATATGATAGCCCTGTTCAAGATGGAGGGAGATAGAACAATAACC